CTGTAGCAATTGTCAGACTTTGCCAAGCAGCCACAGCCCCAAAGGGAGAAGCTGTCCTGGCTGCCGGGGAGGCTGAAGGGGATGCATGGGAGGTGGAAGAATAGCACACCCCAGCTGTGATAAAGACGCATTTGGCCAAGAAGCAGCAAAAGTAGGGAGGAGGCAGGTGAGGCAAGCCTAACAACCTCCCCCAGGGAAGTGGCCTTTATAATAAAGCCTTGGGGACTGTCCAGTTCCTATAATGAAAAATTCCCACAGTCTAGCAATCAATCTCTCGAAGTACATTCAAAGTACAGGCCTCGGGTCCAGCCCGGACACTAGACAGAAGTGCTGTGACTAAGCAGCGTAACATCTGGCCGGCTTTCTGGAGGGCAGCCCTGCTGTTCTTAGAATAGTCTGAGTGTTACGAAAGAGCTGAGGCACGGGTTGATCAGTCATCTCAGCTGTGCAGTGCCCCCAACACATCCACTTAAGGAGATCTGGGATCCAGGCCAGGCCCCTGGCCTCACCCGCCATCTCTCTGCCCAGATCCTGGAGGTGGGCAGCAGCAGTCGCGTTCGAGATGTGTGTGAGGCCATCACCGCTCGGCTCCAGCTGGCCTCCTGGGAAGGCTGCAGCCTCTTCATCAAGATCACAGACAAGGTGTGCTACCCTGGCAGACCCAGGATATGCTGCGAGGGTCTCCCATATTGAGGGGATCTCAACACTCCCCGCGGACGCAGGACTCCTGCACAGCCTGACTGCCAGGACAAAGGGGGAGTCACAGAGCCCAAACCCGGGCCCCAGACACAACTGGCCATAGGCAGTCTAACTCCAGCTCCAAGAGGGCATCAAGCCTTCTTAGCCCAAAGCTGATGACCTAAACCCCTGAGGATCAAACAGGAGGATGCTCCCTTGGAAGTCCCTGAACCTATCACCCTTCTTGTGTCCAAGGTGATCAGCCAGAAGGAAGGAGACTTCTTCTTTGACAGCTTGAGGCAGGTGTCTGACTGGGTAAAGAAGAACAAGCCCCAGAAAGAAGGTGAGGGGACCTCTGTGGAGGAAGAGCAAGGATAGAGAGTAGATACAGACTGCCAGGCACCTCCTGTATAGCTCCAAGTCTGTCTAGTCATTCACACAAACTCTTCTGATACGTAGGTGGCTTTCTTCAGGGTACAAAGGGTGCCAGGCTCAACTCCATGGGGAACAAGGGACATTCCTGAAGGAGCACTCCTGCATGGGTCCGAAAGGAGAGGGAGGAGTTGGGGGTTGGAGAGGATGGGGGAACGGAGGCTTTCCAGATGAGGCAGTAGGAATGGTGTAGTAAGCCAGGAGCGTGTGCTACAGGCAGGAGTTGGGGGCATGGACCTTCAGAGTGGGCCATGGAGTTGCCAGAACTGGCGTGGTGCCCACTGCTGCCCCTGTCCCAGGGGCCCCTGTGACCCTCCCTTACCAGGTGTACTTCATGCGGAAACTGTGGCTGAACGTGACCCCAGGAAAAGACATCAACGCAGACACCATACTCCACTACCACCAGGTACGCGGCAGGCTGTTCTTGGGGCTGTCACTTGGCCACACCTATTCTGTCCCATACCTGACCTGGGGCGTGGAGAAACTGACACCTGGGCAGGGACTCCCTGGCCCCGGGACCCAGCACAGACCAAGACCCTGAGAGCTCTGGACCTACGAGCTGAGCATAACAGCTTCCGGGAACAGTATCTGCACTGTCCCTCAAAACATGCTGCTGGGGAGCCAGCGTGTAGAAAGCACCAACGTCCTGGCTCAGAGGCCTTACCTGGAAATGGACAGAGCAGGCCACAGCTCCTGCTGGGGATGACCTGACATGGGAGCCATCACCTTGGGCCAGAAGCACTGATCTGAGGACCCAGCCTTTGGCTCGCAGGGAGGTGGTGCGCTCAAACTCTGGGCCCCTGCTATCCGTGCATAAAGATGGGAGGTCAGCTATAGACTAAGGCCCAACATGTCTACTCCTCAGGAACTGCCCAAGTACCTGCGTGGCTTCCACAAATGTTCCCGGGAGGATGCCATCCACCTGGCAGGCCTCATCTGCAAGGCTCAGTTCGACAATGACCGGTCTCCGCTGGCTAGCTTCCCCAAGGTCCTGAAGGAACTGGTGCCTGAGAACCTGATACGCCTGATGTCCTCTGAAGAATGGAAAAAGGTTCTTACTAGGGGTGGGCCCCTGCCTGGGCATGATGAGCATTGCTGAGCATGGGAGGTGGGGATGAAAATCACACTGTCAAACCCACAGCGCCTAGACATTTTCCATCCCTCTTGTTAGAGCAAATTAGACTTTGCCAATAAAACCACACAGACATCCAGGAACAAAGAACAACAAAAAAGGTTATTGCCAGGAAAGGGACTGGTTAAGACCCCATCTCACAAGAGAGGAGTAAGAAAAAGTGCCAGCTATTGTCTATATAATCTACTGAGGCTAGGAAGGGCTAGAAGGGGCTAAGAGACAGAGACCCGGTGTGGACCAAGGGCTTCATCATGGCAGACTAGGATTTATGGCTGCTGCCCAAGTAGTAGATAAGGTGCCCTGCAGCTGCCCAGACCTGAAGGTCACTCTAAGGGGCTCTTGCTGCCTTATATGGTGGTAGCTGCCCTACAGGAGTGCCATCTCAAGGCAAAGGGGGTTGAAGGCTGATTATTTACTGCCTGTACTAAATGGGCCTGGTGTTGCCTAGGAAGGGAGCATGCTAAGCTGTGGAAAGGGGAAGGAGAGTGCTAAGCTATGGGAAGGGAGCTCATTGGGCTAACACCCCTCCACTCCAGCACAGCCCAGCTCTCTGGTGTGTGGATGGTGACCTGAGATGTCCATGGCATGCATAAAAGGCTCAGTCCTGGCAGCAGAGCCCTGCCCAGGTCCTCACTGGTCTGTCTCTCCCCAGAGCCTCCTGCCGGAGTGTGACAAGCACAGAGATAAAACGGTGCAGGAGGCCAAGGTGGCTTTCCTGAAGTGGATCTGCCGCTGGCCCACCTTTGGGTCTGCCTTCTTCGAGGTGAAGGTAGGTGCCTCAGCCCATGCACTGGCCCTCACCTCCTGCAGGCCCCTCCAACTGGCCCCAGACACCCGTGGCAGTGGGACTGGCTACTGGGTTCAGTGGGAAAGTGTGCATGCATGTGTGTGTTAGGATGTGGGCCCTGGGGGATGCCAGGAAAGTGTCTACTTGGCTCCCAGGCTGGATGTGACCACCGTGCTTTTCCCTCCCCAGCAAACATCAGAGCCATCCTACCCAGACATTGTCCTTATTGCCATCAACCGCCATGGTGTGATGCTCATCCATCCCAAGACCAAGGTAGAGCGGCAGGGCTGGGCCCTGAGGGTCATGATCCCCATGCAAACAGGCCTGCAGCCACCAGCCTCAACATGCTACCCTGTCCTCCTATCCCCACTCTCTCCTCACGCTGGCTCCCTGCTCTCCGCTCTCTGTCCCCAGGAGCTGCTCATCACCTACCCTTTCACCAAGATCGCCAGCTGGAGCAGTGGCAGCACCTACTTCCATATGGCCTTGGGGAGCCTGGGCCGGGGCAGCCGCTTGCTGTGCGAGACGTCTCTGGTGAGTCCAGGCCCATCCTCCACCAGAGACATCACCCACAAGTCCTGGGCACTCGACTTCCCACCTTGACCTTTATTGCCACCCAACAAGTTGTTCAACATGTGAGATCAGGCAGACCTAGGCCCACAGGGAGACTGGGCACCGCAGCAGCTATGGTGGGAAAGCCTTTGGCTTTGTGCAGTCCAGGCCTATTCTGGAAAGGGGGTGGGACTTGGGTCGGCAGGGCAGGCTGTGGTGGGGTGGCCCCAGTAGCTGGACCTTTCCTCCCTCTCCCCAGTGCCCTGTCCTACTGCAATAGACATGCTAGATGCCCCCCAGTCCCAGAACCCACAGCCCCATCTGTCCTCCATGCATACACAGCTTCTGACCTCACCTCGTCTCCTGTGCAGGGCTACAAGATGGATGACCTGCTGACCTCATACGTGCAGCAGCTCCTGAGCGCAGTGAACAGACGGCGGGGGCCCCGGCCTCCAGCTCTGGCCTACTCCTAGCAGGGGATAGTGAACAGATGGCAGGGCCCAAGGGCTCTGGCCCCGGCCCACTCCTGGCAGGGGACAGCTCCCTGCTATCCTCAGTCACCCTCCAACACAGAGTCCTGCAGACAGCCTTTCATGCTGCCCCTTGCCCCTCCCTCAGCCTCCAGACAGCTCCTCTCTCTTGAGTGCTGACGATGGAAGCCGAAGGCGGATGACGGATGGCTTTCTCTTCCCCTCCCCACAGTGTTCAATAAATATCAATCAAGCAGAGGAAGTGTGTCCATGAGGGAAAGCGGGTAGTGTTAGGTGAGCAGCAGCCTGGCACAGACTCCAGTCCCCCAAAGGGTTGCTTCTAGACAAAAACAGAGAGTATGGTGACTTCTTCCAAAGCCAGAAGACACTAACTGCATTCTGCAGCTATGACCTCATCCATCCTTCCCTCCCTCCCTCCCTCCCTCTTGCCTTCCTGTTTTGACTGATGACTGGACGCTCCCTGGAGACTCCTGCTTGCAGGCCCTCTGCACATTTGCTCCCCTCCCTGAGGGATACTGGATGTCCGCTCTGCTTTCATGAGGCTTTGATGGAGATGCATGCAGGATCCTAAGACAGCTTGTGCCTGGCCTAGAGGCAGACCTGGGTCTCAGGTGAGTGCGCATCTGGGGGCTTAGATGATCCCACATATACACATAGACCTCACTCTCAGGCCCTGCCTGAGAGACGCCCACCTCACCCACCAGGCCAACCTACATAGGACAGGCCATTCAGTCTGAGGGGGTCTCTGCTGGTATTCTTCCAAGCCCCTTTGACACCTGGCTTGGGAAGGTCTGGGTCCTACCTGATCCAAGCTTGCCTGCCTGGGAGTCTGGATCTGTGTGAACACAGCAGCAGTGGTCCACACGAGCTTTGACCATACCAATCTCCCCCTCCCAGCCACCACAAACCACACAGGCCACCACGGGGATGTGAATCTGCTTTTATTGTGCACATGTGAGTCCAGTGCCACGTCTGCTCTGGTCGTGGAGGAAGAGTCTCCCCTAGGTGTGGGAATGAGCCATCCCTTTCTATATCACTTGCTGGGTCCTGACCATATCTAGAGGCTCCATACTGACTCCAGCTAGAGCAGGCAGCCAGGACAGAAGCTCTGCAAGGCCTCCTGAGTTGGGGGATGAAGGGAGTCCTTGTCCCTCCAGCTGGTTGGCGGGTGGGCGTGGCAGAACCTTACCACCTCAGCATGGGCTCAGGGAATCTACAAGACCGAGGGTGGAGGCGGGATGAAGCCTCCATCTGCATAGGCTGGGGCAGGCCACTCGGGCTTGAAGGCCCCCATGTGCCTTGGCTATAGCAGGGCCATTCTGAGACTGAGATCCCCACAGGAGAGTGGGTAACAACAAGTCCTCTGTGGGGAAAGACAGCTGTCAGGCAGGTGAGAGCAGGGGGTGGGTGACCCTGACAGCTTGCTTCTGTCCTAAAGGTTGTGGGCATGTGGATGTGATTGCTGTGTAGGCCTCTCTCTGCATGGAAGGGAAGTGAGGAGCTGGCAAGGAAGAGAGAAGACACCTGAGCAGGTGTAGCTATGGGACTGAAAAGGGAAGATGTGTGGATAGGAGAGAGGGGAGGGCAAAATGAGAAGGAAAGGCAGTCCAGAAGGGCAGAGGGGCCCAAAGCAACCAGGAGATGGCAGGGATCCCAGGATTGGGGGAGTGGGAAAAGGCTTCAGGCAGAGTTGACGTCCACAGCCTTGGGCTGCGCCTTGCGGGAGGTCAGGTCAGACAGCTTCTTCAGCCGCTTCTTCAGCTCCAGTGGGAACCGCTCGTAACATCTCTTACACACGGGTTTCATGTCAAACTCCACAAACTTGTTCCTGGGGACCAAACCCAGAAGTCTGTGCCCCACCAATGCTGATCCCGTACCATGACTGAAAGCAAGGGGTGGATGGGCTTCCTTGGGCCTTGGCCCCCACCAGCCTGTGCCAGCCTGCACCCGCTAACAGACCAGCCCCTGAGATCAGCTTCTGACAAGAAGGAATGGATAGGCTTTGGAGCCTCCTCTTCCTTCTACAGGCTTCTCTCAGGGTCTGGCATTCCAGAACTCTCTTTCATACCCTAGTTCTCTTGGAAATTGGAGTCCCACCCTTCACCTCTCAGGCTTCCTGTAATGCATCTGCTGTGTCCTGGGGTAGAAAGCACTTCCCTCCCCAGAGCCCAGCATCCTTGCAAGTGCAGTACTGCCATGACACCATGCCCGGGGGAGGGGGGTCCCTGAACCTCCCTCACCCTGGGCAGCCCCTTGCCTCCCCAAATCTCCAGAGCCTGACCACACAGGCATAGGAGAAGCCGGCTGAGGAGAGGAAGGCCCCAGAGAAAGTCCACCATGACTCACTTCAGGGTAAGCCTGCTGTTGCAGGTGGAGCAGGAGAAGCAGTTCACACACCAGGCTTTGTTGAGGGCAGACACCACTGTGAGAGTAGACCGGGGATTAGTAGGCCCTACCCAAGACAACTGAAGGCCCAGCTGTGTGAAGCCACAGCCAGCTGGGCCTGCAGCTGCAGGTCCCCCAGCACTGAGAGAAAACAGGTGGGCGGGGGCAGGGAGGGAAGGGCGCAGGGACAGTGGGCCTCACCATCACCCTCGATCACATGGCTGCAGTTGTAGCAGACATCCCCAAAGAGCTGTGAACAGAGAAAGCTCTCAGTGTTGGCTGTGGGCACCATGCCCTAGCCCAGGGCCTCCCCGCATGGCCACTCTCACGCATGCCCTGAGCCTTTCATGCCTGTGGTGACAGCACTTGGCTGATGATTAGAGTCATGCCAAGGAAGGACCACAGACTAACGCATCACTGGCCCTGAAGCCCTGCTGCTCCTGCTGATGTCTTGAAAGGGCAAGGATTGGAATAGGACCTTCAGAGCCACAGGGCTCACTTTTCAGATGAGGATAGCCTACTTATCAAGACCCTGAACACACAGACCCAGCCTCTATCCCTGGAGCAGTTCTCCTGCTCCAAGCCCACCTTTCTGCTCCCCAGGCCCCGACCTTCCCTCCTTCCCAGCAGCCTTGCAGGTGCAGCCTCAGGCTCTACCTGGTTGTAGTGGGTCTCACAGTAGGCCAGGCCCTTCTTTTCGTAGTGCCGGTGTCCCAGGAAGGGCTTCTCACACTTAGCACAGACAAAGTGCTGGGGGAGAGAGAGAAGAGGGCAGCGAGAGAGGCATCAGGACTGATGCAGAGACCCCAGCAAACCGGGTGAGTGGGGCTCACAACGAGGCAGGAGGCCTGACAGCCTCCACTTGGGACAAACTCATGGATGGCATCCCCCAGCACCCTTCAACTAAGAAACCAGTGCCAGTGAGGTAGTGTGGTCTGGCTGAACTGCCCTGCTATGATTCGGGTACCTCCTGTGTACCCCACAAGCTCAGAGGAACCGAGAAGCATCTTCTATCCCAGTCAGAATAGAAGAACACACTCTCCCCAAAGGGCAGGGACCTCTTGACAGGGCCTTCTCAAACAAGCTACTGTGGCACAGCTCAGGGCACAGAGAGCCAGACCACTGGCTATGCAAACCTCCACTCCGAGTACGTCCCTAAGAGTACCGCAGTCTTCAGTCCACAGATGAGTGCTCCAGGTGACCCAGTGTGCTCCCTGTCTGTGTGAGATTGTGCGTACCCCAGCTACCAACTGCAACCACAGGGCCTCCGGGCAGATGCTGTCCAAGGTTTGCTCCTGACTCTGACCTCCTCTAGTATGCCTCCAGGGGTGTGACAGAATCTGGGTGTGCCTGTGGGCTTAGGTCTTGCCACTCCCTTAGATGGGCCAGCACAAGGAGAGGCCACACCCAGAACAAAGTCCGGCAAATGGCCTGAGCTGGTGTACGGAGGGAGCTTGAGCCGGGCACCACGCAACCTGAAGCCATGTGCCGCTGCCCAGCTCACCTCCACATGCCACTGCTTGCCCAGCGCATTGACGACCCGGCCCTCAATGGGCCGGCGGCAGGCCCCGCAGATGGGGACACCCATCTTGTCATGGCAAGGCAGGCAGTACAGCTCCCCCTTCAGCTCTCGGGCCTCAGAAGTCAGCTCTTTCCTGGAAGACAGCACAGAGCACCCCTGTTACTCTCCTGCCCCTTTGCGGGGTCTGCGTAGCCAGGGCCCCATCAGGCTAAGCTGGAGACTCTCTCTGATCTCTGGTCTTCGGAGGGATTTCCTGTGTGTGCCCCAGACAGGCCCTGGAGCACAAAATTCCTGCCCAGGCCTTGCAGAAGGGCGCCTGTGTTCTGCCCCATCTGCCCTCTGAGGAGCAAGTGTGTTCTCACCACCCCACCCCCACCCCACCCGGCTCCCCGCTCCTACCACCCTTCACACAGCATGGGTGTCTGAAATCAGCATGGAGGGGTTGAGAGGGGACCAAAAGGGATCTGGAGTTCCTCTCTTCCAGCACCAGAGCCAATCTCCATCTATCTCCCCCTTCCTCTTGACCCCCTCTTAATCATAGTTCCTGGAGCACAGGGAGGGGCTGCCCCCCTTGGCCTCTACATTTCAAGTGTTCCTGAACAAAGCCCTGGAAAGAAGACTGCTTCCCCCCACACCCCCTCTCCACCCTGCACCTCTCATGCATGATGCCCTCTCTGCCAGCCCTGGTCACCTCCCACCTGCACCACAGGGACAGGGCTCGGCACCTACCCACAGTGGGAGCAGTTGAAATGATCTGGGTGGTAGGCATCATTCCTGAACATGAGCGGCTGCTCATCGATGACCAGGTGGCACCTCTGGCAGATGTACTTGCCCAGGCCCTTGGCCTTCTCATGGTTGTGGCAAGGCCGGCAGAGGTGTCTATGGGAGACAAAGGTTAGAGGCAGAGGCAGGCTACTAGCTCCTGCAGGACCAGATCCAGAAGAGAGCCCAGGACCCTGCCTGCAGACTCTGTGAGAATCTGGGTGCCTTGAAGGTAAACAGCCAAGGGTATAGAAGAGTCATCTGCCCCATCCTGAGGCCTGGAAGGCTCTAGGGGCTCCCTCTGAAAGGGGTGTGCTCCCAAAGAATAGAAAGAACAGAACACTCATAGTCGCTGGCTTCAGGTGGTATCTTTCTTCTTTTTGGTTTTCCTGAGCCTAGGACATTATGTGGCATAGGGGAGACATTGAGTTGGCATTTGCTGGAGAAACTGGTTCTATTTTCCAGATGCTTTTTAATACAGATGATCTGTAGTGAATGTGAGCTTTAAAAACACACTGTGCCTAGCACAGTGGCCAACCGGGTCAGGACCAGGCGGCTGCTTGGCCTCTTCCTTTGGGCTCTCCCAGATGAATAGGGGCCCTAGCAAGCACAGGAGCTTTCTGTCTCCAGAGACAGAGCAGCAGTGTCCCACGGAGGCCCCTGAGCTGAGGACTGTCACCACAGAGTCTTTTTTTTTTTTTTTGGTAAAATCTCAGAATCCTTTCTGACACTGCTCCTGCCCTGGTGACAGCTGTGGTCTCCACAGGGAGAGAAATCAACATAGTTTCTGTTTTAAAGGTGGGAAGAATTTAGATTCAGGGTCTCCAAGCAAAGACTCACAAAGACCTAGATTCAACACCCTCATTTTGGTCCCCACCTGCCACCCCAATCTAATGTGCACAGCATGGAGAGTGGTTTAAGATCACTTTATTGACTATGTGAGTGAGTGAATGATTGTGCAAGAGAAGAAAGTAGAACAGTGACAACATGGCCCAAGCCAAGATAGGAGTCCAGGACCTCTGGGTCTCCCTATCCCAAAATGGTAGCAGATATGGCCTGTGACTGTAGCCCTTGTCATGGTGACTACTCACTCAGACATCTGTGCGCCAGCACCCATCCAGGCTACATTTATAGCAGGCCTAGGGCCAAGTGCCCTCCCCACTGTGGCTAGCCCCTACCCCTGTGACTCTTTCATATCACAGTTTCATTCCTCATAACTTTTTTATCTCTCATAATTTTGCAACTCCTCCTTAGCATGAGGATGCATTCAACCATATAGAGTAATGGTTTCCAAGCTTTAGAAAGTAGCTCCACATAGTTGGGCATGGTGGTACAAGTCTGAAATCCTACCACTCTGGAGGTTGAGGCAAGAGGATCATGAGTTCAAGACTAGCCTAGACTAGATAGTGGGACCCTGTTTCAGAAACAAAAAACAAAAAAGAAAAGAAGAAGAAAACAAAACCACAAATACTTGGTCTGGAGTCTGTGGCTTACACCTGTAATCATAGCTATTTTGGAGGTTGAGATTGGAGACTTGAAGTTTGAAGTCAGCCCAGGCAGGAAAATCCATGAGACTTATCTCCAAAGAGCCACTAAAAAGCCAGAAGTGGAGCTGTGGCTCAAGTGGTAGAGTCTTGAGCAAAAAAGCTATGGGGGAGCACCCAAGCCTTGAGTTCAAGCCCCAGGACAAGCGCACACACACACACACACACACACACACACACACACACACACACACACACACACACACACACACACACACACACACACACACACACACACACACACACACACACACACACACCCCATCCACTTAAGTCCCAAAATTCTTTGCAATGATCCATGTCTTTGAAGCTACTATCAGTAGTGATAGACCCCATCAGGGTGACTGGGAGTGTAGCTCAGTGTGAGATGCCAGGTTCATTCTGAACACAAAATAATAATAATAATAATAATAATAAATCCATGAGTCCAAAAGTGCTCAGAGCAGCCAATTTCTCACTCCCCCATTTCTAGCCAGTATGAGTCAGTTCTTCCAGACAAACATTCCTGAGGCACAGACAGGGAAGAGAGAGGCGCACACCCGTGCCCAGGCACCTTCACACCCTCTAACACCAGCAGGAGAGGCTGCACAAATGCAGTCTTGCAGGGAATCCTCCCGCACAGGGGAAGCAGTCTCAGGACAGACCGATCCCAGCACCAGATCCAAAAGAAACCTTCAGAATTCAGGTAGAATTCAAAAGGAACCGCCAATGTGTAGCACCGATATATAGCAGAAAAGAAAAAGAAACAGAACAAAACTAAACACATAAAGCTTAACTGGTGGAGTGTCACATGATTGCCCCTCACTAGCCTTTGCCACTGGGTAAGTTGCTTCACCTCTCTGAACCTTGGTTTCCTTATCTGTCAAATGGAACAACAGTCCGGAGTGCACAGGTTGTGGGAAATGATCAATGTGAGGTGGTGTGGTGGCAGGTCTTCCCAACGCTAGCTAGCCACATACAGTTTCAGTATTTTAACTAAAACACTGGAGCCTTTTGAGAGTAGGAGGGCTGATTTTTATCCCCTCATCCCACCCCCAATTAGTGAAGAACCATTTTTGGAAACATGAGGACTAAATAAGCCTGAGTTCCTGAGACCTCAAAGCTGCCACTCAAGCCTGGAGCCACCTCTGGGAGAAGCCTTGGGGGCCGGGGGTCAGAGGGCTGCAGCGGCTCTTCTCCCCCGGGTAGAGGAGGGGCCTGCAGAGGCGAGGGCCCATGGCGTGGGGCTGCGTCCGTCCTTGTGGGACAGACAGCACCCCATTATAACTTGGCCTGCAGCTGTGCTGGGTTCCACATAAAGGCCATGATTTATCTCACACGCCAGAGCGGTGCCTAATTATACAGGGCAGGACACGCAGACCCTCAAAGAATCCCCTCTCTTTGGGCAAACAAGCCTCCTCAGCTTCCCACCCTCTCCATTCAGGACACCCTCCTGGGCCCAGCAGGCCTGGGAGCCTGGCCTGTTGCCATGGCGGCTGCCCCCCTCCATCTCTCCCTCCTTAGTAGGAAGTCATCCCCTTCTGAAACGTCCTGTTGTGTCCATCAGTCCCAGCCAGAGACCCCGGCCCCACTCACTCCCGGGCTCCCGACACAGCCACACACTGTGATGCTCAGCGGCCAGGCTGCGGGGGGAGGGGGGAGTGCACAGGCCGGGGACACACTGGAATATTCACAGCCCCTGTGGCAGCACAGGCAGCCAGAGGCGCAGCCCGCCCTACAAGGGACCCCTTAGGAATGAAGTGGCCTTTCAGGGCAGAAGGGCTACAGCTACCCCTTAAATAGCCAGCTTCCCACCCACAGCTGCACGGAGCCCTCTTGCCAGCAGGGCCAACATCACCACCACAGCCTAGAGTTCGCCTACCATCTCCTCCTGGATCAGCTGTAAGAGGTAAGAGGCAAGGGTGTGTGGGGAGGAGGGAGCAAGAAGGGGAAACCCAGAGCAGAGTCACCATGGTGGAGAGGAGCTCTTTTGTTCCTGTCCCTTTAATAATGGTTTGACCTAAGTATCATAGTCTGCACTTAGTGTAACCCACAGCACTGTGTTCTGGTTTGTCCGGGTCAGAGAGATTTGCTCAAGACTCGGGCTGCAATGACAGTCACTCAGAACCCAGCACCTGCACCGCTAGCCATTAGGGCCCCTCAGTTAGCCCAAGAAGGAGCAAGGTGCAGGTGCCAGTGTGTCTGGAGGCAGGGTGGGAGAGGTGCCCGATAGAGAAGCCACTGCCCCTGCCTGACCACAGAGCTCCATCAAGCTTCCTGCTATAGCCAAACCTGCCCACACCCCTCCACGGAGGCCCTAGTCCTGTGCCCAAATGCTTCATGAAGCCCAGGGAGCTTCATGAAGCTGTGCTCAGCAAGGGCACAGCTGCTTGGTAGGGAGAGGGAAATCCCAGTTTTGTGTGTGCCTTGGCTGAAGTTTAGATGCCCCAGTGCTCAGCCCCCTCCGAAAGACACACGACATCCCTGCAGTTGTCCCAGAACAGTGATGAACTTGGAGTGGCTCCCTTCCTCTCAGGGCGGGGGGTGGGAGGCTCTGGGCCTGGGAGGTCCCGTTTCTAACTCAGGTAGTACGAAGCTTCGCCATCCAGGCTCCCCATCTCCTGATCACATATTTCCTCCAGGGTTGACCCAGCTCTGCCTCCAGCCAAAGCATGAATGGCCTGGAGGTGACCTCCTGGAGTCTGAGCAACAACTCCTCCCTGGCCGAGGCCAAGCAATGTGGGCAGGAGACACCACTGGAGAACGTGCTGTTTGCTTGCTTCTACCTCCTGGATTTCATCTTAGCTTTTGTGGGCAATGCTCTGGCCTTATGGCTTTTCATACGGGACCGCAAGTCAGGCACTCCGGCCAATGTGTTCCTGATGCACCTGGCCGTGGCCGACTTGTCCTGCGTGCTGGTCCTGCCCACCCGCTTGGTGTACCATTTCTCCGGGAACCACTGGCCATTTGGGGAAATCCCATGCCGGCTCACTGGCTTCCTCTTCTACCTCAATATGTACGCCAGCATCTACTTCCTCACCTGCATCAGCGCTGACCGCTTCCTGGCCATCGTGCATCCCGTAAGGTCCCTCAAGCTGCGCAGGCCCCTCTACGCCCACTTGGCCTGTGCCTTCCTGTGGGTGGTGGTGGCCGTGGCCATGGCCCCATTGCTGGGCAGCCCCCAGACAGTGCAGACCAACCACACGGTGGTGTGCCTGCAGCTGTACCGGGAGAAGGCCTCCCAGCACGCCCTGGCATCCTTGGCTGTGGCCTTTACCTTCCCTTTCGTCACCACGGTCACCTGCTACCTGCTGATCATCCGCAGCCTGCGGCAGGGCCCCCGCGTGGAGAAGCGCCTCAAGAACAAAGCTGTGCGCATGATCGCCATAGTGCTGGCCATCTTCTTAATCTGCTTTGTGCCCTACCACGTCCACCGCTCCATCTATGTGCTGCGTTACCAAGGCAGCGGGACCTCCTGCATGGCCCAGCGTGTCCTGGCCCTGGGGAACCGCATCACCTCCTGCCTCACCAGCCTCAACGGGGCCCTCGACCCTGTCATGTACTTCTTCGTGGCTGAGAAGTTTCGCCATGCCCTGTGTAACTTGCTCTGCGGCAAGAAGCTCACAGGCCCACCCCCCAGCTTTGAAGGGAAAACCAATGAGAGCTCGCTGAGTGCCAAGTCAGAGCTGTAAGCCCCACGTACTGCCCCCGAGCCAGCCATGGACTGCCACAGGAGGGCCATCTCCTGGGTGAGCGTGTCACCAGACCCAACATGTGCTGAGAAAGGGCCCTGAAATCTCAGCAGGTTGTCACCCCTCCCTCCCGATCTGAACATCAAGGTCGCCCCGTGAGAGATCAGTGTTAACCACCCACTCACAACGGAGATGGGCAGGCTGCCCCTGCTCCCTTGAGGCCCCCAGACGCTTGATGACTTCATCTGTGCAAAGGGGGAAGAGAGACAGAGGAGTGATTCTGAAACAATGAGGATCTTTCTTTCCCCAGTAGGCCTCCTTCCCACACCAGACACGCACAGCAACAGAGCCCTGCGAAAGGATCCAGAAGGCTGGCCACTTACAAACGTTGGTGGAGAGCTGCAACAGTGTCTGAATATTTCTTTTGAAGTATGAGGTCCACCAAGTTCCCTTTGTGGCCCTTTGGCCAGATGACCCCTTCCTGAATGTAAAGGGGGAGGGGGGACACAGACTGTTAAATGACAGCCAAACTTTGCAAGTACATTTTAAACTGGATGTCTGTGACACTCCCCACCCCAACTGTCCTGGTCTGGGAGCACCGATTTCAATAATGGACTCTTACTCTTGTCTGCTGCCTGTGGCCTGACAATCCTGAGCCTCTTGGATGGACAGGGTGACCTGGGAGCTGACCTCAGGCCAGAAACCTGATGCTGAGCCTGTCTCCCACTAACCGAGACCCCACAGAGGCATCCTGAGCCTCATTCCCTTCCAAGAGGCCTCCACCAGCCCCAGCCAGTTCAGCTTGGAACTGCTTCCCTTGGCAGTGTGCACACATTGCTCTAACACATCCTTTTATGTCCTTGTTTGTACTGATCATAACTGTACTTATAGCTTTAAGACAAAGGAGGTTATTGTGATTGCTCAACATGACAGATCTGCTCAGGTCCACCCAAGAACAGCAATATGGTGCAGTGGGCAGGGAGTAGAGCTGTGGTTTTGGTGGCCCCAGAGCCACCTGACCCCATGCGTACAGACGGCTCTGCATCAGGGGTTCCAGATTCCAGTCTGGCCCAAGGGTGGGAACAAGGACTCACTTTACTCATCCTTCCAACACCACCCTGCCCCTGGCTCCTGTGATTACAGCAGCACTGTGCTCTCCTATCACACTTTACATTTTTTTTTTTTTTTTTTGTCGGTTGTGGGGCTTGAACTCTGGGCCTGGGCGCTGTCCCTCAGCTCTTCAGCTCAAGGCGAGCGCTCTACCACTTGAGCTACAGCGCCACTTCCGGTTTACACTTTACATTTTAAAATACTTCCGGTCTCTTCTAATTTCCCCAACCAGCAGTTGGACAATGCCCCCAGGAAAGCTTTGGCACCAGAAGGGACCAGGGCTCACTGCAGGCCCGCATCTGGGTTCTCTACAGCTGACCAGCACTGCCTCCCTCTACCACCACAGTGCTGTCACTCACCCACTCCACTGTACCACATGGTCCCATGGCCCCTCACCAAAACACCCGGCTAAGGACCAGGCTCTGTGTGAACTCTACAGGTCAGCACTGCCACAAAGCTGTGAACTTCTCCCTTGGAACAGATATACATAAGCTCACTCACTGCAGGAGGGACCAATGGAGTTGTGAGAGAGAATCAAGTGCCCAGGGTACAGACACATTGGGATGTCTGCCAGATCATGCTGCCTTTCCCACCACAGGGATAGGAAGAGAACAGACTGCTAACCAGTGGAGAAGAAATGCACAGCTCAGTTGAGGATCTATTGCACATGGGATTTCTAGTGGACCCCCAATGGAGATGGCAGGTGGGCAGCTGAGTAGTTAAGAGGTGGGGGCTGGGGGAGCTGAACTTTTCCAGAGATGCTGTTCAGAGGTGCTCACTCTCCATCCTGAGGCAGCCAGCACAACCCAGAAGGCTCTCAGGGAGTGGTGCTGCCCCCCCCCCAAAAGGACTAGGGAGTCCCAGTGAAGGAGGGAAGCTGCTTGGGGCTCTAGGCAGGGGCTCTCCGACAGCTACTGGACCGGCTGATGGGGAGGTGTGAAGATAGAAGTGAGAGTCACAGGGAAGGGCTGGGAAGAAAGGAAGAAGGCTTCTAATTTGCAGAGCACTGCACCTTAGCAGTGATTTCTCTCCAGCAATGTTCAGCTGTGTGGGTGCCTGGGGGGGGGGGGTAGCATGGCCCCCAGGGAGTTCACCCAACCCAAAGCTCCATCCATCACAGTTATGGCTCCTCCTCAGGCATGGCACAGAGAGGAGTGCACAGCCGAGGCAGGACAGGACATGGGGCCTGGAAGGCGCCTGGTGCCCACTCATCACCGGGCATTCATGAGAGTCCCCTCTCTGTCCTGGACAGACAGGGCCACTTACCGGCCTGCGTTCTTCACAAAGCCCAGGTCAGCCAGTTCCACATCACACAGCTCACAGCGGAAGCATCCTGGGTGCCAGTTGGTATTCATGGCCTTGATAACACGCCCAATGATAAATTCACCTGGAAGAAAAGAGGTCCTTGCTGCCCCTACCCTTAGGATCCTCCCCAAGAGATACCACCCATACTCGGCTCAGCCTGGTCTGAGGTGTTCACCTACAGTGTGGGAAAAGGATGCTCTGAAGAGCAATGCTCAGGGAGACTGAGTGAAGTGGTCATGCTACGTCCCCACCTGCCTTCCTTCCACTTGTGGGGCAGCCCAGGGTGTGTGCTGTTGCCAGCCCTTACCGCAGGATCCACAGCATGGAGCAAAGAGCATTTGGAAGTCATGTTCGCAGTACTTCCGGCCCTCAAACTGAAAGTGGACCACAGACAGAAGACAAGCAAGTCACCCGCCATTCATGAATCTCTGTCAGCCAGTACCTGATGTGGGGAAAGGGGCGCAGCAGGAGAGCAGGGGCCTCCAGACGGAGGCTGGGGCAGGAGATAGACAGTGCAGAATGAGGGGTCTTGGCAGGTCCTGCAGAGACCCCCAAGCCAGATCTGTGAGGGCCCTTGCTGCGCAGAAGGTCTTGGCACTGTGCTTCCTGAGAACAGGCCAAGGCAGGAGGAAGTTGACGCTTGAGCTCCAGCTCAGGATGAGGTCAAGTTTAATACTATGCATGTCTTCGCCCCAACTCTTGAGACCTTCCTGTGTGAGCAGTCCAGCACCCCAGGGACTGCTGAGTGTAAGTTCAGGAAGGCCCAGGAGTGGGCCCAGGAGTAGGCCAAATCTTCAGCAAGCAGACACCACCAGTATCCAGGCAGGGATGCCCATGCTCTGATTACAGCCTTCCTCTGCTTTCCTCTGTCCTAACCATTTTTTTGCCTTTTTTTAATAAAAGAAAGGTTAGACAGGTTGGCTTTCCAGTTTCCTAGAATGAGTGTCACAAGACTGCAGCTGTGCAGCCCTTCTTGGGAACGTAAGACACAGCAAAGGTTTATACAAAATCTCCTGAATGTCCCCTCCATGCTAAACTTCATTGTGAGTGCACAGTCCCCTTCCAGAGCTCCTCCCACCCCACCCGCTGCTTCTACCATTAGCCAGAACATTCACGAGTCTGGGAGACTCTGGGAGAGCAGCATCCATTCCACTAGGCAAATCACATCCACTCACCAGCCCACCCATGGTCCTGCAGACACCACCAGCGTGGTGCCAGCCAATGCTCAACATCCAGCTCTGTGGGACAGGCCAGGGGGGCCGGCACATGGCCTTGATGCCCAGTGTTAGCCAATTGCCAGGACATAAACATTCCCTGTGGACCCATCCCAGGCCAGCGATAGGATACAGCTGTGAAGCTGAGGAGAGTATGCAGCCACCACATCCTAGGCAGGATGGACAGAAATAACCTCAGAAGCACAGATGAAAAGCAAGTAGCAAAGTAATGAGAAAATGCTCCTTTTAAGTATTTGTTACCTTCATTTTCAATAAAATGTGATCTCACCGCACGTTTCTCTAATTTGTTTAATGGCTTTGTTTAACAACTGGTTTATGTGACTGAAGATTTACCAACCTGCACTTGTGAGCCCCTGGGGGAGTCAGCCCATCTCTCTCACGTTCACCTGGACTGGGAGGTAGACTCACTCCTCTTCCTACCTAGTCTCCCAGCTCCAGCTCTTGCCTGCTTGTTGACTCTGCTTAACACTGTGACCAATAAAAGAGGCCCTTATCTTTTTCTGCTCCCTCTCTCCCTTCCTTCCTTTTGTATTTTTTGCGACCGTCTATGTAGCTCAGGCTGGGCTTAAATTCACAACCTTCCTACTTCAGCTTCCTGATGGGATTGCAGGAGTGGACTGCTGGACCTGGCTTCAGAGGGGCCCTTTCCAGGGTCAGGCAGATGGTCTGAGTTCTCTGTTCCCATGCTGGGTGGCTCCGCTCTCTCAGAGAGGAAGACTGAGTCCCAGTGCAACTCCACAGGATCACAGGAGAGCCACCTCCTCACCTCTGCCTGCAGCTACTCTCCCTCTGTTCACTCTGCTATCTCCCCAGCCTCCTGCTGCTCCCCAGCACCCCGTATGCCCCACCACAGAGCCTTTACACATGCTGCACCCCCACTGTGTGCTCTCTTTACAGACATGTGTGTGACTCCCCTCCATTCAGGCATCCTCAAATGTTTCTTCCCTGATCTCTCACTCTGAGATTCCATATTAGCATAGCAAAGCCTCTGTCTGTCTGATGGACCAGTTAGTTACTGTATTTACAGTCTGATCCAAATAGAGGGGAAGCACCATGAGGGCAAGGCCTTCCTTCTCCCAAGGGCTGTGCAGCCTCTGCCTAGGAGAGGCAGGAGGAGGGTAACGCACTAGGTTCACATGTCATGAGTGAGGGCTGGGCACCAAGAGGTGTGGCAAGCAGGGATCCGTGAAGTCAAGGCCCGGCCCTGTCATCAGTCAGACCCAGACCCCCAGGAGGAAGCTGAGGGTTCCAGTGCCCTCTTCCCCTGCCCAGCATCCTCACCTCATAGAAGAGCCCCTCCGGGAAGGGCCGGAAGCACTGGGCACACACAAAGCAGTGCTCGTGGTACAGCTCCCCGTTGCTGTTGACTATGCGCTCCGCAGGGGCAAAGCGGGCCTGGCAGCGCTGACACACGGCATTGGCCAGGGCATCAGACATGTTGCTGGGGAGAAGAAAAAGGTCAATACCAGGTCACCCAGATGGAGACAGTACAGAGGGCTGTGCCTGCAGACACATCCCTCCTCAAAGGTTAAAACACTTCACACGATATAGAAAACCACTTGCTCCACCCCAGCACCAGCCTGGGCACTGTAGGGCTCAGTGGCTTACACAAAGTTCTCTCCGAGCCATCTTCTTGGGTTCTCAGCAGAGCTGCTGTGCATGGGCTAGGGCTGAGGGATGGTCCCTGTGGCCACATACAAGGACACCATGTAGCTCTACTTACTGAGGAGGGAATACAGGCCTGGGGAATGAGTGCTGCCCAAAACCTAGATTGGACTTCCAATCAAAAGCTTCCAAGCCAGGTGCTGGTGTCTTGGAATCCTAGCTACTCAGGAGGCTGAGATCTGAGGATTGCTGTTTGAAGCCAGCCAGGGCAGAAAAACCCCTGTGAGACTCTTATCTCCAAATTGTCACTCAAAAATCAGAAGTAGTTCTGTGGCTCAAAGTGGTAGAGCACGATGCGCCTTGAGCAAGAAGAGCCCAGGGACAGTGCCCAGGTCCTGAGTTCAAGCCCTATAACTGACAAAAAACAAACAAAAGCTTTCAATGTTTGTGCCATTCTCTAACCTCCCCTCCCCCCAGTTCTTGGGCACAGAGGCACACACTGCCTGGCGGGGGCAGTCAGAGCCTGAATGAGGCTCCCACACAGCCCAGCCAGCCCTTCCCTCCTGGGCACATGCTCCTGGCTGCAGATGGGCTTCAGTCACAGACTAGTGAGATGGGGACACACCAGGACATGTACAGGACCCACACACGGGCATGGAGATGGCCAAAAGTCATTGGCCCAGTTCCCCGGCTGCTCATTCTACATGGTGCCCGGCTTCCCTTTTTTTCCCCTGTATTTAATTGTTTTTATTTTATTATTAAGTAGTTGCACAAAGATGTTGCAATTCTGTAAGTACAATGCTTCTTGATAACATGTTACCCCTTCCCACATTCTCTCCCATTTTCCCCCTCCCACCCCTTACCTTCAAGTTAAGTGGCTCCATTTTTACATATCACCATCATTATTATTATTACAGTGAGTATAATGACTGCATTTGCTCACCTATCTCAGCTTCTTCCTGTGCCTCCCATTGCCCCATACCCAGCAGACCAGGGTCTCAGGTCTAAATCATCACTCAGGTACAGGCTGCATCCTCACTGACTTCAATACTGAGATTACCCTGTAGCTACTGTTGCTATTAAGGCCCTCCAGTGATGGTCCGAAGACTCAGAAATGTTCAGCATTCACCCAAACTCACACAGTAAGTGACAGAGTCCAGATGTGGACTCAGATCGTCTAGTGTTCAGTGGTTTCTTCCTCAACTACTCCAAAACTATGTGAACTCATCCCAGGATACTGCCCACATGGATGTTCAGAACTGAGGAACAAGGGAACAGGGACAGGAGCAGGAACCCGGAAGAGCCAAGATAAAAGAGAGAGTCTGCACCCAGTGGGCCACTTCTCAGTCTCCCCCACTCCCTGCTTATGTCCACAGTGGGCCAGGCAGGCCAGTGAGGATGGAGGGCTGTCCACTCTGAGCCCCCACAAAAGTGGCCTGGTCCCGCCCCCAAAGAATGCTGTGAGCCATCTCTCCTAAGGCGCACAGCAGTATGGCAGGGAAGACATTCCAACACGTGACTCTGTGCTCTAGAGAGGTCAAAAATCAACAGAGAGCCCTGTGGTTGTAGGCCTGGAATACCCTATTCCAGAAATGAAGCCAAACAGGATCCATGTCCACTCCTAGCCTCTCAGACCACGCATACACCCAAACCCCTGGACCCTCATCAAGACAATGCTCAGCATAGCCTGTCTTCCAGCTGGCCCCCAAGTTTTCCTGCACTCACTAAATTTCTGCCCCAGGTGCTGATCTTGGGAGCAGATACCATAGGGCCCCCTCACCCTTTGGCCTCCGAGTAAGCTCATGCAATACTTCCTATACTCACAGCTACTGCACAGCTGTGTCCTCTTCTCTGGCTCTCCTCGCCTTGCTGCCCCGCAGCTCTACTTGAATGTACTGTGTGTTCCCAATAGAACCCAACAGCATCCTGGCCATGCCCGCTCCTTTTGGTACCTTTCATGTGCCTGTAAGTTGGTCCTCAGCAGTTGGCCCCTAAACAGAGGGGCTGGCTCCCTCACCAGGTGGATGCTCCTCATTCCCAGGCTGTGTCCCTGGGTCCCTGCTCCAAAGCTCTGCTTCCCATGCTCGGTATGCCCGGCCTGGGCAGATGTGCCTGTGACCGTGGTCTCCTGGCTTCCTTCCAGAATCCCTAGCCTCCTCTCCCACATGTCTTCCCTAGAGCAAGTTTCAGGGAGTAGAATCCCAACAACAGCTCCATGAGAAGCTCCATAGTGGCACCCCCGAGGCACCTTGCTGGGAAACACAGAACATTGTACTCTCCCAGCAAAGAATTCTTCCAGATGGATGCTGAGGCTCAACAGAGCCACGGCCTTGCCCAGCAGGGAGAAAACAGCCAGGCAGCCAGGCAGGCTGAGCTCCCGTTCATCTATCCACTCCTGTTCTGATAGCTGCTGGACCTGGAAGAAGGTGCAGCCTCTCTGGGCCTCATTCCTTCTAAAAGGGACACCAGAGTGGGGCCGGGGTGCTGAGGTGAAACACAAAGCCTCAATGTAAGCAGAGAGCGTAAGGCCAGACAGGCAGTGTGCTGCAGAAAGGGAGCTGCTGAGTTCCAGAAACTCCAGGAGCCTTCCAGAATCCCTGGCAGCCACCAGAGCAGGAAGGGCTGGAGCAGGAAGGGCTGTGCTCTCTGTAAGAGGGCAGCAGGTCAAAGACATGGAAATTCCATGTCCTCCTTCGCACATTCCGCCCAACAGCCAAGAGCACAAAGTCTGCCCAGCTATCTGCCAGGAAACCCCAGTTCCCCCCCCCCCACACACACACCCAGGCACAGCACAGCTCACAGCTGAGAGCCCAGAGCATCCCAGAAAACCTGCAGTATCCTCCCCTCTCGCTCCATTTCCAGTGTCCTCCCACCAGCTCTCTTCATCTGAACAGCCAGCACAAGCCAAATGGTTGCCAGATGCACATGAGTGACAGTGTATACAGCCCTCAGGGGTGGGATGAGCGGGAATCTCTTTGCCAGGTCCCTGGAGGGGAGATTACTCCAAAGACATTGAAGCAGAGAGGGTATGGGCTGCTGAGGGATTTAGATCCTGCCTCCCTCTGTCTCCCTAGCTCCCAACATTTCACACAGACAAGGCCATTCCACACCTCCCAGCACTCCAGCCTACCCCCTATACCCACAAGACCAAAAGCAAGTGACAGGGCCTAGGAAAAGGTAGGCTAGCTATCAGAGATTAGCCATCAGAGGCCTAGCCATGCCATGGTGAGCCAGTCTTTCAGCCAGGCAAAACAGGCTACAATCCTGGCTTAGGATCCCCTCCTTGAGATGGCACTTGGAACCAAGTGTTTTCTGAACCTCAGCTTTCTTCTCTGTGAAATGGGCCACCAACAGCTACCTCAGAAGACTGTGAAAGAGTCAAACAAGGTAAGCACAGCCTGCATACAAGAGCTGGCTTTCCTTCTGTCTACATGGGTGCCAGGCAAGATTCCAGGTGCAGGAACAGAGGAGACATCTCTGCAGCATGGCAGTGGGGGTCAGTAGGAGCTTCCGCATACAGCAGCTCCTGCCCCCCACTGTCCAGTGCTCCCCAAACTCACCCTGGGGCACTCAACAGTCAGGATCACACAGCAAACAGCAATTGACAGAAGGCTAGCCCCACTAGAAAATGAACATTCCGGGCTGAGAATGTGGCTTAGTGGTAGAGTGTTTGCCTAGCATGCATGAAGTCCTGAGTTCGATTCCTCAGCACCACATAAACAGAAAAAGCTGGAAGTGACGCTGTGATAGAATGCTAGCATTAAGCCAAAGAAGCTCGGGGACAGTGCCCAGGCCCAGAGTTCAGTCCCCAGGACTGGCGAAAGAAGGAAAGAAGGAAGGAAGAGAAAACAAATATTCAGTCTTAGACTTATGACACATTTACACTATCAGAAACATATGCCAAGGAGACCTGCTGAAATGACAGCTTTTTTGAAGCCTTAACCAGACCTCTTTGTTCTAGCAGCTCAGTTTCCTTTTATCAAGTATATTTTGTTTGTTTGCCAGTCCTGGGGCTTGAACTCTGGCCCTGGGTGCTGTCCCTGAGCTCCCTTTGCTCAAAGCTAGTGCTCTACTACTTGAGCCACAGCACCACTTTCAGCTTTTTCTGTGATCAATTGGAGGCAAGAGTCTCACAGACTTTCCTTCCCCGGGCTGGCTTAGAACCATGATCCTCAAATCTCAGGCTCCTGAGTAGCTAGGATCACAGGCTTGTAATCAGGCTTGTAATCAAGCTTGTAATGATTCAGCTTGTAACCCTAGCTACTCAGGAGGCTGATTTGCTGTTCAAAGCCAACCCAAGCAGAAAAGTCCATGAGACTCTCACCTCTAATTAATCAGCAAAAAGCTGGAAGTAGAGGTGTGGCTCAAGTGGTAGAGCACCAATGTTGAGCAAAAGAGCCAAATGAGAGCTCAAGAGTTTAAGCCCTAATACCAGCACACACACACACACACACACACACACACACACACACACACACACACACACACATTTTAAAGTGTCACATTGACATTAGACAACTGTCAAATGGTATGAACTAGAAGTTCAAGGAAAAATGAAGCTGAGTGGTGTACATGGTGCCTTCCCAAGACCTGATCTTCATGACTGGGTCCATGTGTTTCACACTTTGGCCATGTTGTGTTACATCTACACTGGTACTTCTGGACCATATGTGCCCTGGCCACCCTCATATCTAGTACCATGGTTCAAACCACAGTTACCCACAGAGGAACAGCCAGGGCCCACCAGTGAAGATGACCAACCAGGCTGACCTCTGATGAGCTAGCCCACCTCCTGAGCCTCTGCTTCCTTGCTCAAGGCATAGACTCTCCCGGACC